AAAAGAAAAGTGTGTGATGTGCTCAGGGAATAGTCTAGAATGTGTTCAATACAAGTGCATTGGAGCGTTTTGTGGGAGTTAAGGATGGACAGTCAGATCAGGGACCAGTCTGTACTTTAGAATTTGCAGGCAGTGGCGAACCTGGGCTGCTTTACTAGGGGAGGAATGACATATTCCCCGCTCCGTGGGGTTAAATGTACTGTCCTTCACCCAAGATGTCCTCTCACTCCCATTCCTCAGACCAGCGACTCTTCTTCCAGTCTCAGCCGGTGTCACCTTTGCCTTGAAGACTTTCCTGTCTTCTGTCACAGTCTCTCTCTCACTCACCACCCTTTCAGTGCTATCCCCTCTGTTCCGTCGGTTGCCCGCAGCCATCTGCATGCAAGCCAATGGGTACCGCCAGCACTGGACCCCATCAGCTGCCCCTGCTGCCCACTTTGTGAGTGTGGCAGATGCCGTGATCACACTCACTGTGTCATCCCAGACAGTAGTACATAGCGTAGTGCAAGGCACGCGCAAGCTGGTTTTAACAGGTGTCATGTAATTCTCTTACAACCTCCACTTTTGACGCAAAAACATTACAGAAATCCAAAGCCTCCAGGAGAGAAGTGTATTTGTTCTATCCGTGTTTTGAAGAATTTGAAAAATAATCCAGTGTGGCTTCTAGTTTCTTGTGAGTGTAGGTGACCAGAAATGGAATCTGTAAAGGGGCACCTTGGGTTGCTAGTCCACCAACTGAATGGCATTCTGTCTGACTCTCTTGGTATTTACCGTGGGTCGTGCTGCTTGCTGATGAACTTCACCTGGCGCCCTAGAAGCCTCTATCGACTAGGAAGACGTTTACTAAATTAATTAGTTAAATTAAAAAATAGCAAATCATTGCCATGGTCTGGGGGCACCTTGTCTTGGATAAATAGATTATAGGCTGAGAATAATTTTACTGAATCATTTTTGAGTGATTTGAAAGATGGATTTCAGAGCAGAATCTCCAAATTGGCTGTTGATATAAAACTTACAAGAATTCAAATGCCAGCCTAACAGAGATAAAGTGAAGAAAGAGCTCCAGATTCTGTTCAAGATCCAGTTGAAATAAATTAAATAATTGTTACTGAAAGAGAAACTCTGAGCTCTCAATTATAACCTGGAAATCAGACCTGGAACTGCATAAGCAAACAAACCCGCAGTTAAACCCGAATCTCCGTACAACTTGAAACAACAAAAACAACAGCCAATCCTCTGTTTCCCCCACTCCATTCTCTTAAAACCCAATAGTGTGCTGAAAAATGAACCAGAGAATAATACACGTCGTTTGATTTGTAAGTGACCTGAGAAATTACTGGACGTGGACAAATGCAGACTTTTTCAGTATATGGCCTTAGTGATTCAAATACTGTAAGAAATGGTGCCCTCAGTCATGCAAATTCCTGAAATTATAAACAGCTTTTCTTAAAGTTCTAAACAAAAACTTCCTTCAGATTGTACAATAGTTGCATTCTAGAAAAGTCAGAGTATATTAAAACCCTGAAAAACATACTTTATGCTTATATGAGTTAAATTCTATTATCAGATAATTATAATTTTCCCCTTGTTGAATTATCTGGTAACATAGGGTAACATAACATTTGTAGGGGAATGCAAGATAATTCTTTGTCACTGTGACAGCTGAAAACACCCCACAAATTTCTAGAGGGAAGTATGGTGCTGACCCCCCACCTTGAAAATACTGAACCAGTCCCAATATGATGAAGCATATGTGGCTCAAACATGTGGAATGTCTAAGCCACCAAGCCAGATGGGTTACCAGGACACAGGAAACCAAAGAGAAAACATCCCCCCAGGTGTTTGTTAAATCTCACCGCGAACCATCCTGGGTGATGCTCGCTGCAGTGCTGATTGCATCAATTTGAAAAGTCACCCTTGTTTAGAGAGCATCTGAACACAGATCCTCCAAGTTACAGAAAAAGGTACATTTCAATCCAAACAATCGAAGGATTTACTCTTAGTAGTGATCAACGAAATGCTCGAGTAACTGAAGGTTTGTAGAAACCAGAGTGAAAATCTCTCAAAGTCAAGAATAAAAGCACAGAGGGATGGACTTCTAGTTTTCTGAGCTTTATCCCTGTATCACCTTGGAATACCAGAAAGCACCATGTTTTGGTCTCTATTTGAAATGCTTTCGATGAGTTACAGTCTGGTGCTGTATCCTTAGTTAAAGGGAGTCAATATAATGATGCTACATGAAGCACAGTTTTGCATGTTCTGCCAAACCACTGCTCAGATGATTGACTACCTTTTCAGTCCACGCCCTTTACACCCTGAATGCCCTTGTTTTCGGTTCACTGGGACTAGACACCCCACCATGATTTTTGGTTTTGTTTTGTGCTGTTTCGTTTTGCCTTGGTTACTAGGAAGGTCAGAGATACATCTGATGCCCAAGTATAGTGACTGTTTCACTGCAGGTTCCTTGTAGAAATTGTCTGCCCCTTTCACTCTGGCTGCTGCTGTTTCTCTGACTTTAATTGTCCTTTGTCTGTTTTTATTGTAAGCTACGTCATATTTCTGTTACAAGTAGGATAGGGTATAAACTACCAGTCACTAAGTCAGGTATCCTAAGCATCTGAACAATGCCTGGCACGTTTGGGTGCTTAGTCAATATTTACTGAATGAATGGAGGATGCATGAATCCCAGAAAGGAACTGATTTTCACTTTTCTAGGACTAGCAGTGGATGGCCACTAGGGGGAGGAAGAGCTCCCACTCATCCCTGCAAAGGGCTTGCTGAGGCCACAGGCATGGGTTTGGTAGAGGATAGCAGTGTTTTTAAATAACTGAATCTTGTATTTCTGGAATAGGTAAGGCCTAGACACCTGAAGGAGTGAACACTGAGTACCCCAGGGGTCCCCCAGTGAGGCGTCATTTCCAGCCCAGTGCCGCACTGGTCCTGCCTCACTGTGGAGCGGAAGACCTGGGCTGGACAGCAGAGCCCAAAGGCCATGTGGAGAGAAGGCTCAGTGCACAGATCGCATGTTCTGAGCCAAGTGCAAAACTTTTCATTTAAAATACTTAAGATGCAGGGAGAGGGTATAGCTCAGTGCTAAGCATGCACGAGGTCCTGGGGTTAATCCCCAGTACCTCCATTAAAAAATAAATAAATAAACCTAATTACCCCCCTCCAAATACTTAAGATACAAACAGGATAGTTCTTGGCCCAGCAAGTATAGTTAATAGATTAGAAATAAGAAAAAACCAAGAAGAACCAAGGGGCATGTTTAGAAGAAATAGACTCATGCAGTTGTTGACGTGGTGGCAGTTTGCACGTTACCACTTGGCACTTGGGTACACCCCGTTTCGTTTCACTTTCCTCTTTCCCAGAGGCTCAGAGCCTCGGGGAACTACAATCTGCATGTTCTGTCTGTTCCTCTGGAATCCGGGGCCTGAGGAGGGATGAGCCTTTGTTCCTGACGGGGCTGGAGCCCCAAGTCCTTGTCACTGTCATTTTCCCACTGTCTACACAGGAAGCCTTTTGGGAGCAGACGCTTGGGATTGCTTTCCTGAAGATCAGAGACCAGCCCTGGGCTTCCCTACTCTTGGGCAACCTTGGCAATTTGAGTGAGCCTTGTATTTACACTTTATCCCACAACAGAGAAACTGACGAGGTTCAATCCCTTAAGCCAGGGGTCCTTAGCCTATAGGCCCATGAACTTGGACATGAGAACAATTTACATCTTTATTTTCATTAACCTGTAGCTAAAATTTAGCATTTCCTTCCAGTCTTTTTTTTCTTTTTATTTATTTATTTGCTTATTTATTTTATTGAAGTATAGTCAGTTACAATGTGTCAATTTCTGGTGGAAGCATTTCCTTCCATTTGGAATATAAGCATCAAACCACAGTAGAACTAGCAGGATTTGTGGCTGATACCAACCAAAATCGCAGATGTTTTCATGTCACATTGTATGTTGCAGGTACCTCAAACTATTGTTTACAATCATTGCTCCTCTGAAATTACGGTAGTTGTTAGATTCCTGCTGGATCTTATGCGTCCATGAACGCGTATATTACCATATTATAATTTTTTAAAATTTCAGTATAATCAGTTTTCTTTATAGCTAATGTATTTTATTTTACACGTTTAAATATACAGGCTTAGCAGGTGACCAAAGATTAAGGGAAAAAGGTTAAGAATCTCTGCTTAAAGAAAATGATCCCTTAGGGCTCTATTAACCTCTCATTCGATGGATCATAAATTAATATAATATGGGTTTCTGTTGATGCTGAACAAAGGGAGTTTAGCTTCTGAAGCATTGAAATGAGGTATTATTACTAAAGGATTCATGTAGATTTGATGACAAAATGTCACTATAGGAAAGCATATCGATTAGATCTACATTTTCTGCTTTTCATTGATACGCATCTATCCAGTGTTTTATTAATTCAGTGCTGTCTTCTTGGTTGCGGGGAAGAGCAGATTGGAGGTGATGTGTGTCCAATGTCACTGATGGAAAAAAAAGTAGGAGGCAAGTATGCAGAACCGGCCAGTGAGCCTTAAACAGAAGCAAGACCCCCATGCAGGAGGCGCTTGCTGAAAACCATTAAACACCATAAATAGTTGGTAGATTGAAGTTGTGGTGACATCCTTTTATACATCCCGAATTAATTAAAAATTTTTTTTTGAGTTTTGAAGTTAATGGTAAAAATAACAGCAGTTGAGAACATCATTCTTCTAATGTATTTTCAATGAAGATGATGTACACTAATCCTGGACCTTTATACATCTGGTCACTCAAGGTACAGAATTTGTATTAGAAAAATTCATGTGTGGGAGCTTGATGCTTTTAGAAACATCAGAAAGCCAATTTAATAAAATTTAAAATCCGATGTTATCATTATGGCAGAAAATGCAAAGACCTGTCCGTGTAGAACATTTTGTCTTTTCTGAACAAACACTGCGGAGATGCACAAGCCAGGGGAATGCTGCCACGCTTGTTGTCTTTTCCACAGGTATTGACCTGGCTGGGCTTTTCATGATCGTCACTGCTGACCTGAAAACCTCTGAAGGAGAAGTTTAGCTTCTGGAAGTCATTGATACTCTTCTGACTGCTGTTTGTAAAATCGCCTCAGATTGGGGATTATTTTTGCTTTGCAGAAATTATCTGCTTGGAGCCCTGCATAATTTGTAACAATCTCTGGCAAAACCTCAGGAAGAAAGATATGCTTTTGACTTAGACGGATGTCAGAGGGTGCGGCAGGACCCAGTGAAAGGGCTCCTCAAGTGGTGGGAGGCTCTGAGAGCGACAGTTTCAGCCGAGGGACAGCTTCTTGGGGACTTTCTTCTCCCCAGGAGGGTGACAGTCTAAAAGAAAAAAAAAAAAAACCACAAGCAACACAGTTGCCAGTGAAATAAGAGAGGGAGTGCTTCACGCGGAGCTGCTGCTGGACTCTCGGCGCTCACCCGCGGGGCAGGGGCACAAGGCCATGGAGTGACCGTCAGCGTGGGTCTGAGGAGAGACAGGAGATGGCCCACGAAGTCACCCTGAATTCCCTCCAGGAGTCAGAGCGCGAGGTGATTCTCCAGGTCCTGTACCGGGACCGGGTGGTTCAAAACATCGAGGAGGAAAGGATACGGTAGGCTGCCATTCAAATGGGTGGAATTCTTGGGGACTTGGGCTGTTCCTGCCCGGAAGCTGCTTCTGATCGGCACCTTGCTCCTTGCTGACAGCGCTGCCGGCCTCCCCCTCAGCCTCCCGGCTGACAGGTGTGGGAAGGGAGGGCTGTCGGGGGAGATGAGCTCTGCTGTGTAACTTAGCATCGGGGATGGTGAGGGAAATCCTGCCTTTGTTTTTCCTTAAAAACAATGCCTTTTGGTGATAAGGTTGCTGCCTGCCTGCGTGCCTGTCCAATTGCCTACTTTGCAGGAATAATTAAAGGGACGCTTTCAGACTTCTCATACCGCCTTCCAGGGAAAGCCCTCTGGCTGAGGATTTTCCTAAATTATTTTTGGTGGTAACTGAAGGCTCAAAGAAAGCACCTTAAAAACAGCAAATCTGGTGGAGTCCCTTCCTGTCTTTTTCTTCGCTCACTTTTGGTTCCCAGCCGGCTTTGAGGGAAGGAGGGGATAAAGTCTGAACCTGCCCAGCCTGCTCCCTGACCGATGTGTCAACAGAGATCTTTCCTCTCTGCCTCTAAGCTGCACCCGCTGTTTGACATTGGTTAACCCTTAGTAAAGCTGGGCTGGACCATCAAAACGGTATCTGTTGTTAGCTGTCAAGATTTGTCTTTAATATGGTGATGGTTTTGTTTATTGTGTTTGTGGAGGATGGGCGGGCTAGAAAATAAGTAAACAGAGTAGGCTTTTGGGTTTGCTTTTGTTTTTAACGGCAGAACTCTCTCAGAGTCTGCCAGGAAAAGTAAACATGTAAAAGGAAACTTTGGACAACTAAATGTTTGAGGACTGAGAGAAAATTTCTGGTTTACCAGAAGGTACAATCTATCCTCCCCAGTTATCCCAAAGCTCTCTAAGTGTACTTAGAATTTTAATCCACTAAAAAAAATATAATACACTGAACCAAATGGAATTTTCTTTGATGAGTAACAATCTTTCAGTGACTTAAAAACACCATTTTCATTATTAACAAAGAAACATGGTTACTGTGGTAAAAGGTTTTGCTCCAAAGGGTACTGATTCTAGGGCAAATCCTGAAAGTTGGATGTAAGTGTGTTTCTTGGGATTAACTTCTCTCTTCTAAAAGTGAGTAACAGAGACATTTCACGAGACAGTATTTTGTTAATGATACCTTTTGGGGTCCAATGTATGTCCCTCTGCACTAGGGCTGTTGTCCTGGGGAAATGGGGACTGAAAGTGACTACCCTTAAAAAACAGTAGCAAGCATAGCATCACTTAAATAACTTTAGTGGGTAACTTACGACAACAGCAGGAGTGTGTACTGTGTATTTACAGGTCTTTCCCTGCCTTGCATATTAGAATTGATGCCCTTATCTGTGTTTGTCCTCTTTTCCTGTTCTTGCTTACCATTGTAATGCCCTTTGGGCATGAAGGGATGAACAGCAGCTAACTCCTGTGCCAGGCGTAGTGCTTATGCTTTGCCATTTAATCCTTACAGCAACACTGGGAGGTAAGGCTTTCACAGCCGAGAGGACCTCTGAGCCTCGACTTCAAGAGGTCGTGTGAGATCCTGGTCCACACGGCCGTGTTGGAACCTGGGGATGTTGGATGGCAAAGTCTTTCTCTCTTGCCACACATGGTGCTGTTGGGGCCCTTGCCACATGGGAGTTTGTCTGGTGTCTGTCCTCCCTCTCAGTCGTACCTTATTATTTAACTCCCGGGGCCACAGGAAACTGAAGACGCACCTGCAGCATCTCAGGTGGAAAGGCTCGAAGGGCGCCAGCCAGGAGTACAAAGAGGAGTCCTGTGCCCGATGCCAGCGGGTCCTGGGGCTCCTGCTGAACCGGGGGGCTGTGTGCCAGGGCTGCAGCCACCGCGTGTGCTCCGAGTGCCGAGTGTTCCTGAGGAGGACCCGCGCCTGGAAGTGCACCGTGTGCTTCGAGGACAGGTGAGGATGGGGGCGTGGAGATGTGCGGACAAACCGTTGAGAACGACAGCTGTCCCCCTCAAACTCTCTCGCTACAGTTTTACCTAGAGCTAAATATGGAGCTGCCTTTCTAGATGTGGAAGTTATTGTAATTCAAAATACATTTGGTTATATGAAAAAATGTTTTTTTTAATTTACAGAAGTTTGTAATGGCTAAGGATCAGCTAACCTAGGAGTTAAAATTCATTTCAATTTCTTAACTAGGTGTCTTATTTTCTTAGAGCTTAATTTATTTCTTTCAGGAAAAGTGGAATGAATTGTAACATAGGGAGTATCAGAGTGATCCTGTGCAGCTTTTTATAAAGCTTCATAAAATAAGGCTGTTTTGAAGGAGGCAAGCTGACCTGTATTGGACGCTCTAATAAAGAAATGGATGTGCTTTTTTTTTTTAATTTGCACTCTTTTTTTAATTGAAGTATAGTCAGTTTACAATGTTGTGTCAGTTGCTGGTGTACAGTATAATGCTTCAGTCATACATATATTCATTTTCATATTCTTTTTCATTATGGGTTACTACAAGATATTGAATATAGTTCCTTGTGCTATACAGTAGAAACTTGTTTATCTATTTTATATGTACTAGTTAGTATCTGCAAATCTCGAACTCCCAATTTATCCCTTCCCACCCTCTTTACCCTCTGGTAACCGTAAGTTTGTTCTTTATGTCTGTGAGTCTGTTTCTGTTTTGTAAATAAGTTCATTTGTGTCTTTTTTTAGATTCCACATAAAAGTGATATCATATGGTGTTTTTCTTTCTCTTTCTGGCTTATTTAGAATGACGATCTCCAGGTCCATCCATGTTGCTGCAAATAACATTGTTTCATTCTTTTTTATGGCTGAGTAGTATTCCATTGTGTATATGTGCCACATCTTCTTT